CCTTCCTTCACTGGTGAGAGACACCCCGGTCCGTTTGTAGCCTGAGTGCATGCCCTCATGCGACGTGTTAATCACCTCACCGCTTCTGTTTCAGGTACACTGGCGAGGGCATGGACGAGATGGAGTTCACGGAGGCCGAGAGCAACATGAACGACCTGGTGTCCGAGTACCAGCAGTACCAGGAGGCCACGGCCGAGGAGGAGGGAGAGTTCGAGGAGGAGGGTGAAGAGGACATGGCCTAAAAATCAGCACGGCTCTTCTTTTTCTCCCTTTTCTTCTTTCTATGCAACAGTTTCAGGTCAATGCGGTTCAGACGTCAAGAAGTTAAACAACTTTTTTCTTTTCTTTTCTTTTCTTTTTTTTTAAGAACAAAAGTTGTTATATATCACCAAGTTATTTAGAGCGTACAGGTGATCTCCATGCTTTTATGTGTTACATGTTTGTTTTTGTTCCCCATCTTTAAATATGAATGTTTTCAGCCTGTTCTTTCTTTTCTGGTTAGTATCACCTCATCATTGCGCTGTTTCTAAATGGATGGTGTTATTAAAGGGAGCCTGACGCTTATTACAGGAGGTGTGATCAAAAAAACTCCATTTAAAAAAAGATGTAGCAGTAAATAGAACATTAAATGTCCTGTTTGTGTAGATCACTTACCCTTTGCACTGTTTGATGTCACCACAGATTTTGAACATGACCCAGCTCCAGCTTTAACATGTACTAATGAGAGAATGTAACACTGACTAATTCATGGCACTTTCTCGCGATTTTTAACACTTAACGTTTAATGTAGAATATAATTTTTATTTTTTTTTAAGTGAAATTAAATATTTAAGATTTATTCTAAATGAAAGAAAACACTGAGAGCGTCAGGAACTCATCACTCCCACCTAACTTTGTGTGCTTGTTCTGATTTTGTAGAAGAATTTAAATAAAGTTTCTTTCTTTTTTTCTTTTTTTTTTTTTGTAGAGGGGTTCAGTACAGCCATGATATTTTTACATTATCATGAGCCATCTTTCTGCTCATATCCCTTCTATCCTAGCGTGTGACATCCAAAACTTCCTCAATCTGAAATTGCGAATTCCCTGTTGGGGTTAATAAAGTTTGGTGCTACATATGGTGGATTACTTCTACTTTTGTCTTTTTGTCTACTTAAAAACAAATGAGTCAGACGTGCTCTTGGCATGATGAGTGCAGGTGTTTGTGCAGTAGTACAGTGGGGGTAAAGATGAGCCATATTTGAGTTCACTTTTAGCAAAGAAAACATTTAATATTCCGATTTTTTTTATACACACATGGCTGCTGACTAAATTCCCTTTTTTTAAAAGGAAAAAGCTAAGTTAAATTTAAGGTCCAATGTGAAATATGTGTGTATTTGATTCTGACCTCTCTAATTACTGGTGGCTCGTTTTAAATCATAGAACTAAAAACAATGGATATATTTTACAGATGGATATATTTATGATTTAGCATTACCTTTCCCTAATTTTTAACAAATTTCATCATTTTCACAGAATGCTGGATAATTGTAGTTAAATGTTTATATCTGAATCACTGGTTAGTCTGATGTGGCCAAGTCTGCTCATCTCCTGCTGTCAAACTTAAGGGGTGAAGTGAGGAACAAAATGCAGACGGGGGAACAAAGTGGATGTAATTAAGAGGAGATGATAGCAGCAGTGAATGAGGAAAGAAGCAGAGAGCTTGGACATAACCAGAGAATGCAATGAGTTGAAAGCTCTCTATGTAACATCTTACTTAGCCTTTCCAAGGCAGAAACACCTTCCCGTCTGCTGTGCTCTGGGAGTTGGACACTCACACACATCCTGAGCTGCTATGTCAAGGCCCTTGGGGACGGTTGCTATGGGTCGCTCCCCAGCTGTGACAATAAACAGGCTCTGCTGTCCCCTTAGGAAACACGTAACATTTGTCAAAGTGGGAGAGCAACTGAAACTGCTGCAGGTCTACTTTCCATCATGAACACTGGCAGGTAATGGTAGACTTGAGCCAGGGACTTCAAAACAGCTTGCTCTGTCAGCAATCTGGGAAGATTGTACCGAGCAGGCGTTTTAAGAGGAAGCTGGCCAAGTACCAGGGGCTTCTGGAAGATCGTAGGAGACAGAACAACTAGAAAACCCACAGATCAAAACACCTGGTGCAGCAGGTGTAACTTAAATGAGACATTTCATCCTGTCTGTGTAAATGTGGTCAGAAGTTTATATCATGGGTGTTTAACAACTGCAGATTTTTGCATCATCAGTTCAACCAACTGTACATAATTTGATGTTATCTCTGCCATGAACTGGAAACTGCTGGAACTCCTGCATCTCTGTCCACAGAGAAGCGATTGATGGAGAGGATGCTGGAGAAAGATTTTATGATCAGGCGAGACAGAGAGCTTTTTGGCCACTGTAACAAGTGATATCTTTGGAGGCGTAAGTGAGGCTTTCAAATCTAAGAACACTGTGAACTGTCAGGCATGGTGGTGGTAGCATCATGCCAGTGGTACTGGTACATTACACAAAAGGTATGGAATAATGAAGGAGGATTACCTTGTAATTCTTCTGTTTCACTTTAAATCAACAGCTAGAAATAAAATCTTGTTTTACATCATGTATGTTTTATAACATGTATGCTGCATAATCGTTACAGAAATCTATAAAATCCCCAAAAGAACACGACATTCACGCTCATGACAAGTGGATGTAAACTTCAGACCACAGCTTTATATATGTCAGTCAGATTTGGTGCAAAAGATTTCCCTGCAACATTCAGAGGTCTTTTTTTGTTCTAAACTACGGCTTGACCCATGTTTTTAGATGCATACTCAGATATTTTACATCAGGGGGAATTTTGCATTTGGCGATAACCTCTGGTTCAGATCTGTTCATGCAAAATAAAAGCTGCTTATGTGAAATTTGTTTCCTCGTCCTGTCCGGACATGCCACAGATTTGATCTTTATCCACCTTCATCAGTATAATGGCTACTTTCCTTTAACCTTTGTCCAGCTGCACAGCCACACAGCTAACAATAGCATGTTTTTGTGCATGTTTGAATAAAGCTCAGTGCAAACACTCATCCATGTTGGGTATTTGACTTCATCTCTCAGTCTGCTTAACCTGCTATAATTATTATGGCCAGAATAATGCACCGTTGTGAAAAGTTTACAGGAAATTTTGCAGTGTGTCGGGTAAATTAGAGTAAATATAATGAAAGACTGAAGAGAACAAGACAAAATTCAGATTTGCAAACTGTTTCTTTTGAAAACTGGGGAAATCTAACTGCATTTGATCATGAGAAGATTTTACATCTAACTAATTCAAAGGGATTTATCAGAAGCCATCGGAGAGAACAAGAACCTGCCGATTGCGGATGAAGGGAAATAATCCTGAATATTTAAATGACAGATAACAAACAAATGTCATTATGATTGGACACTTCCTGGTCCTGTTTCTTTCCTTTACATGGAACTAAAAAAAAAGAAAATCAGCAGCATGCACATCATTTACAAAGTTCTCAGCTCTCAGTCCACAAACTGCTCCCCTTTTTTCCTCTGGTGTGCCTGTAGTTTCTGCTTTTTATTCATATATACACAGGAATGATCATGAATGCTTTCAAACCTATATAAGATGATATAAAGATAAGTTAGAGCATTGTTTTTGAAGTCAAAGTAAAGCTGACTGTTTGTTATCTAATGCACTGAGTTTATTTGATCTTTTTTCCTCTCGTCTGTTTTTTTTTAAATCCAGTTTTGGGATTTATCAGCCGTTAAGGTGTCTGCCTCCTCTTGAATAACAGGAATGCCTGTTTTCCAGAAGTCATGAAACCGCGACTCCATTATGCAGCTGACCCATGACACAAGGATTTAGTAAACATTAATCGACCTTCTGTGCCTTACCTTATTTCCTGCCGTGTGTATACCAAACAAACTTGAAGCAGCTGTTTCACATACAGACACTACTAGTCGTGCCTGTTTTGTTTTTCCATATAAACCACATTGATAAGCCACATATGTACGCTCACCACTCACTTTCTAGTACTTGCTTGGACACTGTTTTGCCAGGGCCACCTTAATTATTTGCGGCATAGATTCAACAACGTGCTTTTTGGTCCAAGTTGGCACAACAGTGTCACACAGTTGCTGCAGACTTGTCAGCTGCTCGTCCATGATGGGAATCTCCTGTTCCACCACATTCCAAAGTTTCTCTATTAGATTGAGATCTGGTGACTGTGGATGAAATTTGAGTACAGTGAACTCATTGTCATGTTGAATGAACCAGTTTGAGATGAGTTGAGCTTGAGTTTTCCCACCGGGTGCAGCCATCAGAAGATGTGTACACTGTGGTCATAAAGGGACGGTCATGTTCAGCAGCAATACTCGGGTAGGGTGTGGCGTTTGAATGATGCTCAGCTGATACACAGCGTGCCAAGAAAATAGCATTACACCAGGCAGGATGGATCCATGCTTTCATGTTGTTCACATCAAACTCTGACCCTACTGTCTGAATCCATCCATCCATCCATCCATCCAGCCAGCCAGCCAGCCAGCCAGCAGAAATCAAGACCCATCAGCTCCAGTAACATTTTTCTAATTTCCTAGAGTCCAATTTTGGTGAGGCCATGTGAAGTCTCACCTCAGCTTATATTTCTTAGCTGACAAGAGCACTGTAGCATGGTCTTCTGCTGCTGTAGCTCATCTGCTTCAAGGTTGACGTGTTTTGTGCATCAGAGATTCTTCTGCATACTTAAGTTGAGTCGAGTTACTCCTCTGACCTCTGGCATCAACAAGAGATTTTCACCCAGAGAACCGCCTCTCACTGGGTATTTTCTCTTATACAGACCATAAAACCATGGAGACTGTAGAGCCAACACGTCCCAGCAGATCAGCTGTTTCTAAAATACTTAAATAAAAATAAAAATACTTGCATCCACCTGGGACCAACACCCAAGTCACATGTCCAAAGTCACTTAAAGAAATAAGAATAAGAAAGAAATGTGATGAAATATGATGGATTTTGTTTTATTTGTTGTCATTTTTTTTAAATACTTAATGGCAGTTCAGCATTTTGTGCATGACATAAAACATCACACCATCTTTGGGCCTCTTCTCACTGAAAAATCATGAAGAAAGAAAAAGAAATAAAAAAGAAGGTTTCAGACAGCAGCTGTAATATTGAGACAGTAATATTTCATTTACACCAGCAATGGTGACAGTTATGCTCTGTGTGTGTTAATTCACCATCAGTAAACACTGTAAGTGCTGGAAAATGTCAGCGAGTGGCTAGTTTACACCGCAACATCCATCCATCCATTAACAAAAACAATATGAGTAACAACGAAGGCTGTACGAACGCAACTGCTCCCCGACGTCCACAACGAGAACGAACAAATTCATATTTTCATTAGGTCAACAGAGCAACACACCCCAGTTTATCCCAGAGGTTTTCCCTAAGTTCCTGCTCAAACAGCAGAACTGTGAACTGCTCATGAAAGGAAGAAGCAAAATACAATCAAAACAATTGGGTTTAGGCCTAATAATGTCCAGCATGTGGGGACACGCCTGGGTGTGGCAACAAAGATAAAACAACCACAGAGTTCATTCCTCATCAAAAGTCTCTCACAGAAAACCGGAATGACTCCAAACAAAGAAAAGCACACATAGAGTTTAAAATACAGAAAACCTCTGGTTTAGGAGTTAGTAAGAGTATTGTTTTTATACTTTTGATTTGTCTGCTGCTCTTCTAAAATCTGCCAACTCCTTAAGTTGGGAACCAGCTGGTGGTAGTGAAAAACAAGAAGGACAGAGGGGATAAAGTGGAGAGGAAAGAAAGGAGACAAGGGAAAGTCAGCCTCGGGGTTTGAGAATTTAGCCGATTGTATACTCGTAGTGAGCCGTTCACTACAAGAAGGAGACAGAAAATATCAACGGATTCTCCTACAGCACGGAAAATGGAAAGTTCATAGCAGTGAAATAAGGCCACATGGGACATATATATGAATAAATAAAGAAATGGGGGAACTATATCATATCTGATAATTCATTAAAAAAAGAAGAAAAGATGAGAGGCACTGTGCATTTTTTGCTGTTAACAGAAGGATTACACTGATCAATATTAAAGGGGACCTATTGTGCTCTTATAGGGTTTTACAGTAGCGGGTTATTATTTTAACGATGGCCAGTCTGTGTGTGCAAGATTACGAACCCAGTGAGAGCAGAAAGCTCTGACACAAGCTTCTGGCTGTGAAAACAGAAACTCCGCCCGCTTTCTCTTTACAAGGAGCTGCCAATGAGAAGATAGCTGGGCTAAAGGGGGAGGAGCTACTTGAGCAAGACAGAGATGGCTTATTTCAACCTGAAATCACAGTCCACCATTTCTCGCTTTTCCTCTCCAAAAAATGAAATGTACACGCATGCAGAAGTTGCAGTAACAGCAGAGGGAGATATTTTATTTCTACCAACATGAAAATAATCATGAGAAAGTTTTTAAACAGACATTATTAACACATTTACATGTATATACATATTAGCCCCCGAGCTAAATCGATTCTAAAGATTAAGGATCCTGGTATGTACTTCATACTTTTCTTGCTCACTACCGACTTTGTGGATTTAAATACATTATCTCCCCCTGCTGGTAATGCAACTTCTGCAGGTGTGTCCATTTCACATTTTGGAGAGGCAAAGCGAGAAATGATCAAGGTGGTCCAGCGTCTCTATTACATGTTTTGCTTTGAAACTGGGTTGCTTACTTTGAACCACGAATCATGCAAAGCTATTTTAGTAAAGGAGCAGAATAGGTTCACTTTAAAGTTTTAATCAGATCTCAACCATTAAGAGTCATCCACATCCAAAGTGATGGGTATGATGCGGGATTTACACTCGACATGTAATGCAGTTTAACGGATTAAAATACAAGGTGTGAGTAGAAGGTCTGTCCATAAAATATATTAAAAAAACCACACCTGACATTTGGCCCATCTGCCCTTCAAAGTTTGAATTTTGGCTTTTCTTGGATCTCTCCCTGGAAGTCCCGTTACTAGCTTTGGGAGACCTCGAAACTTTTGTGTCAAAATGAGTTGTTGAGGAGAGCTCGGTGTTCAGGTACAGCCAATTTTCAGCTGAAAACTGAACGCATCAGGTCAGGAGCGAGTTGGACTTTTTAAGGCAGAGATATTCACTGTGAACTGCGAATAGTTCACACGGCCGCTGTAGACTTGTGGCGGTGTTTGCAATGGGCCTAAATTTCATTTATTTTCTCTAAATTTTGCTATTTTTAGTATAGCACATTTAGTACATTTCACAATTTCTTCTGGAAATTTTTCCATTTTTGGGACATTAGGGGCTGAAATAATGCATAAAATTACATTTTAATCCTAATAATCACCTTTCTGTGAGTATTTGGGATGTCAAGGTAACACCTCCTAGGTGAGGTGTGCCAGGCATGTCCTATCGGGACGAGGCTGTGGGATGGACCCAGAACACGCCCCAACTCCAGTTAAGCTGGAGGAAGTGGCTGTAGAGAGGGAGGTCTGGGTTTCTCTGCTTAGGCTGTTCCCGCCACAACCCGGCCCTGGATAAGAAGAAGAACGACAGATGGCACTACAACCAGCTGCTTTGAATACGGCGAGTATGGTTTTTTTTTTTGTCTAGCAGCAGGTGTAAATAATTATTTTAGGGATTTAGCATGTGCACCTCCAACCAGTTTCTGTACAAATGGATAAACACTTTCCAGGTGGACTGGGACCATCTTTTTGCTGTAGATCTGTATCAGATGTGGTAAAAATATACCTCATAACGAGAAGAAACAGTTGCAGAAACTTCTGGATAAATCTGAAAGCGAGTGGCATCAATCACCAGTCACGCCAGCACAAGCTTTGCTCAGCATCCGCCCTTGTCGTCACACCTCTGTGACTTCATTATCTTCCTCAAAATTAAGTTGTAGGGTCACTGAGGGACAGAACGGGGCTTCCAGGGAATGATCTGGAAAAAGCAGCCCCTTTAACTGAGGGGCAGCAGTGCACAAACACACAACAGTATCTGCTCAAAATGCTGTTATCGATCATGTGACGTGTTGCCAGAAAGGCAACCTTCTGCGTCGGGTTCACTATTCTCCACAAAAAGGGTTGAAGCAAAAAAAGGTGACACTAATAAGACAACTCAGATGGGCGTCACCTTTCACCAGTCTGTATCTGAAATAAAAAGCACATCTGACGTCCCGGGCACTGAAAGCTGTGTGAGAGATTCCTGCCTAATAACATCAGATGTTTGTAAACTCGTTGTGCGTTTCTGTGACCGCTGCTGAGGTAACAAACCCGAAGCGTCCGTTCATCGCGTCTCTGTTCGCTCCGTTTCCCTGTCAGCCTCCATCCGATGTGACCGATGAGCACAGTTTTAATTCAGGGATCAGGTCCCAGAGGGGACTCTGAGCGGGACGAGCGCCGCTTGGCATCACTGTAAGCCGCCACATTTGGCAGGCGCAGACGAGGACGCGAGAACCACTGCTTCCTCTTCCTGCTGAACCTCTCTGACAGCCAAGATGCGAGTGAGCATGCTCTGTAGAGTGGCGGCATCCAATGGTTGAGAAGTGTACCAGTGGGGACTGTTGAGGTTAAAATGGAAATGATAAAAAACATTATTTTCACTTTACAGTGTCAATATAAAGTTTTTTTCTGTTTGCTGATCTTTGTGAAATTTTATGGACAGAAAATTTCGCATTTTTCACCTCAAAAAAATTATGGGAAATGACAAGGAAATTCTGTGTCGTTAGCTTGTGTTGATCACACAGCATTGAAATGCTTGCTGGAGTGTTACTTTTGTAGAAAATACAGAAACAAAAATAACAAGACACCCATAACCAATTCAAGAAGCAACGCCTACACGTATGGTTTCACAGCTAAGCTCGGGGTAATAACGACGCTCTGACCTGTGTGTGTGGACGTTCTGTTCGGGCTGCAGGTAAAACATGTTGGTCTTTTTCTTCACAGACTCCGGGCTGTGGTGCACAAAGAAAGTAATGCGCTCAGTTTTCATTCCTGCAGCAGTGATTGCAAGTTTGTCTGTGTGTGAGTCTTACCATCTGGAGAGGTAGAACTCATAGAGTCGGACAGGACAGTGCAGAGGGTTGGTGACGTTCTCCATCATCTCCAGGTCCCCCTCGTTCTCCGTCTGCCTTTTTCTGAGTCGTTCTGGACATAACGGGACACAAAAACCCAGCTGATCTCTACTTCTGTGCATACTTTAGTTAAAGTCATTCACATGATTTCAGTCAATGACGCCCACCTGTCTCTTCAGAGCTGGGCGCACTGGCACTGCTTCTCTGGAATTGGAGGTAGTAGACTTTGCCGGCTCGGCTGCAGGGTTTAGAGTGGCGGGTGAAGTTGGAAAAAGACAGGCGCTGGTGCTTCTCCACGGTGTTGAAGTGGAAGTATTTGGTGCAGAAGAAGAGCAGCGTGTTGAGCAACACTATGGGTGAATAGGCGCCCAGCTGCTTACACTCCCACAGGTAGGACTCCTCGACACGGGAGGAAACAACGCCACCTGGAGGAAGAGAGATGTCTGGATCTTTTTGTTTGCCGGTTGGTGCTTAAAGCAAGATAAACATACTGTAAATATGTATCAAGATAATACCCTAGAGTGAATTAATTCTTATTTTTGCTACAATGCTATGTCTATTAAAGAAAATAGATGAGGAATAATTGAATAAAATCTATTTTATTCATCGTACCACTAGGTAGTAGTTTTGGTTTCCAGAGTTGAAGCATCCCAGAGATCTCGGAGGCAAACTGATTGTACAGCTGGTCGGTGAAGATGTTCTCTATGCGACCCATCATAAACAGATGCTGTCCAAACAGAGAGGGTGGGGGACGGAGAGGGTTGTTTTAGGAGAAAAATAAAGAAACATGATGGAAACCAGTTGTGCAGTTTTTCGTGGGCACCTGTTGTATCCCCAGACAGAGGTAGAAGATGCTGTCCGGGCTGTAGGGCTCTCCGTTGGGCCGTCGCACTTCTTTGATGAAGCAAGACAGACCGAAGCTCAGCTCAGAGGAGTTGCAGTCAAGGACGTCTTCTTTCACTTCAACTGGATCGGCTGTTACGGGGAGAATGAAGGTAAAGCGCAGGCAGTGCAGATTAAACAGAAAATGAATCAAGAACGAGGAAAAAAACTCACATTTTTGTGGCTGCTTGTTGCGTTGCTGGACCCAGCTTCTCCAGGCTTTAACCCCATACAGGTGGTTCAGTTTGGAGGTGGCAGAAAGTGCCATGGTTGTGCCACGCTCCAGAGAACCAGTCCTCCTCCGACCCTGGATAGTTGATGGGGAAAAAAGCTTTTTATGGCCAAATTAGGTGCATTTTAAACATCATAACAACATAACATGGAAGTACAGGGAAGCATTCTTTGTTTTGAGTCCTGGTTTTTGGATCAGTAGGAGTTTTCAGCAACATAATCAGACAGGGTATGGGGAAATAAACCCCGCCCCCATCCTGATGGGTTCTCTGCCCAGTGCCTCCACATTTAAAACAATTCCCTAAGCACCCTTGACTGGCAATAGTGGAAATAGAAGCGTGGAAGATTTGTTATGCTCTTACAGTATAATTCAAAACATACATGATTAAACATAGCTTAGGTGATTTTTCGTTGTTTTTTAAAATATACAAGTAATAAAATAAGCTGGCAAATTCCAAAGTCCATCATAGGAGGGAAAAAGAGACTCGTGATCAACTATGTCGTACCCGTTTCCGGCCGGACGAGCCCTCTCTGGGTCTCTTCACTCCTCGCTGTGGAGCACATGACTTCTGATCCAGCGACTCTGCAAAAACAAACATTTCCAATTATCCTGCTTCTGTTGTTAGTGGATGATTTTCATCTTTCTTCTGTATTAATTCTATTCTTTTATTAATATCTATTAATCATCCACAATTTCTAGTGGCTTAATGTTCACCTAACAAGCACAGGATTCCTGGTTTGAGTCTGGAAGGAGAAGCAGCTTAAAAAACAAGAAAAAACCCTCCAAAATCAAACTTATGGAGCTATCATACTGAGAATTTCTGTTTTTATTTTTTTTGCTGTGCTTTTTATATTTTATCTTGTCTGTCTGGATTTCTTCTTGAACTTAGCATATACTGCTAAAGCAAATCTGAATCAAGTATATGTTATGCTTTCTTCAGCTGACTATCAGTGATGTCACATCTCACTAGAAGGGAAGTCATTTTCCAAGTCCATCATCGGGGAGGTTGGTGGTTGATCGTCGGCACAGCTGGCAGGAGGGTCGGTTGTCATTTGGCTCGTCTCTGGCTCTGGATCAGCTGCCTCTGGATTCTTCTCTGAAGTCTGAGTAAGTGGTAGGTCAGCTCGGTCTTCTTCTTCCCTCAGAGTTTCTCCGTGATGAGGGATTGTGGGAGCGACCACTTCAGACTTCATGTCTCCACTCTCAGAGGTGTTCTGGTCTAGAGCAGTCACATACAAACCCAGAGGATCATGAAAACACTGCTGGAAGTGTTACATCTATTAAACCCAGGATCAGAACGCTCACCTGTACCGGACTCATCTCTCTGCTTTTCTTCCTCTACCAAAGAAGCCTCTGACTGGACAGCTGCATCTTTCGTGTCCTTGTTCAGTGGTGGAACCATCATGGGTACTGGAACCTTAAAGAAAAAAAATGGAAAGAAGTGTTTGATTTACTGAAACGATTATTTAAACCTTATAGATTGTGAATATAAAGTAAGAGGACCTACAGGCATGGGCATAGGCAGTGGAACAGGTGTGTGCTGGGAATACATGTTCATAGGCACTGGAATGAAGACCGGCACTGGGACTGGAACCATTAACACCTTCACGTTCTCCTCTCCTGCTGCCAGAGGAGGATGAAAGGGAGATAAAGAAAGAGTTAATCTTGTTTTTATGTGAAGAAAATGATTTGAAGAAGAGGAAAATTAAAGGTGAGACACAGGGGTGGGTCACTGTGACATCACAGGTCAATTAAACAAACTTTATAAGAGACCAAAAAGTGACAGTTTGGGGTTAGTCAAGAGGAATAAAAGTGGACCTCTTAATACTTCCCAGCTCCACGTTTTTATTCCTGCACTCTACTCGAGTAGTTTTCCCATGATTCAGGGTTTGTAATAATCATTTTTAATCTTAGTCGGGGCCTCATCTTAACCAGCTGTTTGTGCTCCTGTCTGATGAAATTGATAAAAAAAGCTACCATTAATTTTTACTGTTTCCCCATACGATACTCATTGCACAACTAATAAAAATTAATCCTCTGAGATTACTGAGTTTACAGTCACAGTCAGACTCTAAGGAGCAGCTGTTATTAATTCACTCCAGAAAGGGATCAGAAGTAGGTGTATGTGTACAAAAAGGTGGCATTTATTAATAAAAACATGTGAATGAAATAAAAGGAAATCCTGCTGGTGCCAACATTACTAGCTGCTCTGGACCTAACCAAACTGTCTTTGCTACCAGCTGATCATTAGGATTATAGGTGACCCACAGAATCCAACAGCAAAAACCACCCAACTGATGGAGTCGGCTACAAAAATAACAGAGAAAATCTGGGATGTGGGCACAGAGAAAAGCGGAAAGAGAGATTCCTTTCACAGTCTTATGGTAAAAGGTAAAATGCTACCAATGTGACACCAAAAGATCTGCTGTTTGCAGAGTCTTCTGATTTATTGGAACAGCAGTTTTTTGATTTTTGAACAAACATGTGGCCAGCAGATGTCGCCACTGAGATGTGACTAACTTTTCTGATGGAGTGTCAGGTCACTCCATCAGAAAAATTTGATTTCTCATCACTGCTCCTGCATTTTTGAACCATCAGGGATGGCAAATAAAGCCAGCTGCCTCATGTCAGGACTCAGCTGACATGCATTTATCATCAGACTGAAAAAAATCCCAGATAGCAATAAACCTTCACATAATCACAATAAATGTAAGACTTTAAAACCTTTCTTAATATCACTTCAGTGATTAAATTGATTTGGAAATAAACATCAAATGTTGATGTCAGTTCAAAATGATCATTCTTTTGGTTTCATTTCAGAAAAATGTCCAAATGTTTTTATTTTTATTAAGAAAATAAGACCATCGTGAAGTCCCACCGCTTATTAAAAAAAACCTCTGGCGAGCATGGTTTGCTTCACTGACATTTATCATTATTTTGGCATCCTCACATATATGCAGACTGTACTTTTTAGATGTTTAAGATGCATATTTTAATCAAGACACTGTTACTGTTGATTGTTTTATACCTGAAAAACAGCCGAGAGGACCCAAATGTGCCGAAAGGACGAAAACAAGAGACCTGTAAGTCACCTGCAGCCACCTCATTAGGTGGAGAGGAGTGTAGGTATTTCACCCGAGTCAAATATCAGATGCTTTGTGGCATTTGGGCCACAAAACACCTCCTGTAACACATGTCGATCCCAGCAGAAGACTTTGGGCTCTTAAAACTATTAACTGCCTTAACTGAGCCACAATGTTAAGAGTCTGAGCTCCATCCTGATCATTTTGTCAGCATTTGTTGGCAAGAGGCCGAGGTGAGGGTCAAATATGTCTGTTATCTTAAATTTGTACATGTCAATAAAAAAAATAAAAAAAATTTAAAAAAGTAATAAACCATCACAACTGGGTTTTTTTTCCGCAAATATAATTTATTTGCAGTCCTTGCTTTCAACCAAAACTTTCAAAAAACTGAGAAAATGAGGAGGAAATGAAACATGCAGATGCACATACAGCAAAGTGGAATAAATATTAAAAATAAAACAGTGTACAATGGGTCATTAAATAAAGTTCAGTAATGTTACACACAGCTGGAAACCAAACTTGGTTCGCGAGACTCCATCAGTAGTGAGGTAATTTTCATGAATCACACATTCATATCAAACAAAGTGTAACAGGATCTAAAGTTAGACTGACATCAAATAAACGAATGAATGAGGTTTGCCAGACTCGAGACCGGTCAGACATTGAAGTGAGCGCAAGTTTTACCCTCAAAGATGAACGCCTACCTGAGGTTTCAGTTGGGGATTTACTAACCTTCAACTGCTCACATACTCCAGCTGGATTTTAATAGATTTCCTCACCTGTAAAAGGGGGATCTGTTGTTTTTATAATTCAAGTATTTAATGCCAATGCTTTAAAGCAGATGGTTGTAGATTTTTACTCCGGGACTCTACCAAAGTAGCTTTGCATGATTCACAGTTGAAAATAATCCCCAGTTATCTTTTACTTGGCCTGGCTGCAGCCCCTCGCTCTAGCATCCCTCAGAATGTAGCCGCTTTAGCCCCTCCCCCTCCCCTGTGATCTTAACAACAGGTGGGTGGGGTCTGTACAGAGCTGAGAGTTACAAAAAAAATAAATAAATAAATAAAAATAAAAAGCCTGAAACTTAATGTTTCTTAAGAGCAGTCTGAAGCCGGATGTTTTACTTGCAAATAAACTGAAGTCACGGGCTGTTTTAATTGTGAGCATCCACAGTTGTTACAGTATATATAGAAAAGGGTCCTCTTTAATGCAGTCACCATCCTACACAATAAAACCACATGCCTCCAAATGGGGTATCATCTTCATGAGAAGCTTATTGAGAAGCTAGAAGAGTTTAAAAAACAAAAACAAAAAAAGACCTTTCAGCTTATAAAGAAGAAAAAAAAAACTCACATCACAGGAAATGGAGGAATAGTAGTATGGATGAGGGGCCATCATGAATAATAATTAAAAAAATGAAATTAAATTTAATAACAGGTTTTAATTATTTGACACAATTCTTCTTCTTTCTTTTTCTTTTTTCTTTTTTAAACAAGTAAGGTCAGTGACTTGTCTTTTGTGGATCTCTTGCAAATACCCACCATACAAACTAAATACTCATAGCGGAAAGAAAATACTCAGCCATGTGATTAGGTCATAAATATTGCTGTCTTTACTTCATATAAAAATACACAGAAAGCCCCTTTAAGTGCATCGTTTCTTTGTAGTGCCAGATTACAAGTATGAATTCACAAAAGTACTGAAATGAGGTTTTTTTGCCTTTGTTCTTAAGGCTCTGGAGGTAATCATAAACAACAAAACAATATATATATGAAGTAGTGTGGAAACATCAGTTAAACCCTGTAGTTTTCAATCTGTGTCCGAGCTCGGGGGGGGAAAGGGGAGGAGGAAGAGGAGGAGAGCGTCTCACGTTGGCAGATCAGGAGGCTGTGGAGAGAAAAACTCGGGTGACACACTCGACCCTCTCAAGAAGTCAGCTGGAAAATGCAAATTAATTTCAACAAATCACGCAAGCACAACATTAACAGGTTTAAAAAAACAAACAAACAAACAAACAAAAAGGGCTGTAAGTTGTTGTAAGACTCACAAACATTCACACATGCTGAATGCACAAGCTTTATTCTTTACATGTTATAAAGCAGAAGGGAATTTGTGTATGCTCGGAAAACTCACCTTCAGTTTCCAGTTCGGGAATCACTTTGTAGATCAGTCGGGTGTGATAGAGCTCGAAACAGGGCACGGGGCAGAGGCTGGGCTCTCCTGAACACGTCTTACAGTAATACGACGTCTGCCTGCCCGACAGCTCGCTCCTGCTCTCACAATCTGTCTTTTCAGGCTGCTCCTCCTCTTCTTCTTCTTCTTTTTTCTCCATCTCCTCATCCTCTGCCCTCTTCTGCTTCTTCTCCGCTCCCTCTTCTTCCTCCACCCTCTTCCTCTTGTGCTGTCTGCAAACCTTGCAGTCTGAGTAAGTCTCTCTCTTGCCCAGGAAATGGCGCCCGGTTAGACGCGCTGGCAAGCCATCACACAGTTGCGTTTCTTCCTGACATTTTGGGCACGGTTGCGGTGGCGTGGAAGCTTGAGCTGACGGTTGGTCAGACTGCGAGGAGCTATCTAGCAGAGCTGGTGCAATTGTTAAAAACAGCTAATTGTGAGCAAAGATTGAAGAACAAAAAAAATATCAAAAAAGAAACACCAGCTGTGGACTGCGGGAACGCTGCTGCTGAGCATAGGATTCATTTTTATTTTAGGTGCATGGTGTTTAGATGGAGCAGTGACTGATACACATAAAATGCCAACTCTTAGTGAATGATGGCACAAATGGTAGCAAGTCTATCAGAATATTAGCCCACTGAGCTAAACTTTATAGAAATCTAAATAAATTAAAAACAAAGAGGAAACTATAGTAGTTTTAGTCTGTCTGATGATGCTTCAGGGAAAGTGTTTGTTGAGACTTGTCTCAACGTCTACAACACTTTCAGTTTAGTGTTTTTATTATAATGTCTCATACACTGAAGGACTGAAACTGAAACAATAAAAACTAAACCCAAACTAAATATTTACAACAATAAAATCTATAAGAAAATCAGCCAACCTACAGTGGCCCTGAGAGGTCGAACAGGAACTTAACAAAACACCAGCAAACAAAAATGTTGCAAAACAACACAATACACAGAAAAAAAATTCACATTGGGTTTTTCTATTTCCATTGTGTTTTATGTGATTTTGTGCCATTTGCTGGTGTTTTCTTAACTTGCAGTGTATTTGACGCCTCAAAGCCACTGTACGGATCCACTATCGAAAACTTGCAGAAATGAAATAAAACTGAAAGCACAAAGTCAAAAACATAAGAGTAAAAACTAATTAGAAAAAACCCTGGTGCACTCACAGTAACAGCATTAAAAGAACATGATTATTTTTAATACTGTGAATAACTTTTATATTATTTATCTTGATTCCCTTTTTTAAGTTTCACTAGGAAAAACTATTTTATTGAGTCATACTGGTTTCTCTTTTTTGTTAACATTTCATCTTACAAAGTTGAGAAAATTAAGCTGAGACCCTGATGTTGACTTATATAAAATATTCGTTTTATGTGAGGCAGACGTTTAATACATAAAATATTGATTCTCTGACTGTTGTTGGCTGACAGGAGGAATAATGCTGATAAATTTAACACTGGTAATGCTAATGGAACAGTTTTCCAGTAAGAAGTAAGGACACTGGGATTCATAAATATTTAAATATATGGAAAAACATCTTTTAAATTATCTAATCATTGCTGTTGATACAAACATGCAAAGCTGTGACTTGTAAAACACCCGAAATAAACAAAGACAATGTAGTAGGTTTGTGTAAAAATCAACATATGTCCATTTAAAAACTTCCAGAAATTATAATTTTTTTTAAAGGTGCATTACCGGTACATGTTTGTTAGTGCACTGTGTATTCAGCAGGTGTTTGTTGCTGTGCTGTACTGAGTTTTACTGTCAGGAAGTTACTGAAAGTGGTGCAGCTCAGCTCCCAAATCTCACTAATCAACAGGCAAAACATGTTGAGGTGATTCCTGCAATTACCTCCTGATTCAGTGGAAGGCAGCTGGCACATGCTCTCTTGGTCCATGGTGAAGGGCCTGCAGAGAACGGACTTGTTCTTCATCTGACGCCGACGGGATGAAGGCACACGCATGGCATCGGTCTGGGTACTGGCCTGCATATTAAGTATCAAACAGTAACAATAAACGAGGCGGATCTGACTCATAATCATAAATTTGTTACAGTGGACAATTTCTCCAACAGGAATCATTTGAATGTCAAAAATGGTGCCATTTTTTTTAGCAGTCTGTGCTGTTTGACATCAGAGATGTAAATCTTGAGGCCACCTTAATGTGAAACTGCTCTCTGCAAGTCCAAAGATCAGGTTTCAGCCTTTCTGAACTACAGCTCTATTAGGAATAACAATGGATACTGGGGCACCAGTTTAGCTCACAGGTTGAGCAGATGATCCTCTGCGTGTCTTCCCCACTCTCTCCCCCCTCTTCACTCACTGCATCATTAAGAATAGGAATGGATACTGGTTTCACTCGGACTGCATACTGACACTTAGTTGTACAGTGTGAATACATATTGTTTGATCTGTGGACTCTCTTTACACAGGATGCTTGGGTGAAGTATCTAAGATGCACCATTTGGAGAAAATCTTCAGGTAGTTTCAACAAAGCAGTTTTCATTTATTCTCTTTTAGATCTTTGAGGTCAATGAAAAATGCAAGTGAAAGGTGATGTCGCCGTGGCTACGGCCATTTTTCATACAGAGTCGGCTGAGGTTAATTGCGATCTTTGCAACGTGCTCGTGAAGTTGACACTTGAGTACAGAATGCCCCAGAGTAAAGAAAATAAATGAAAATGGACCCAGTAATATACACAATTGATCCTCTCTAGTAATGTCAGGCAAAATCATCCAACCCTTTGAGAACAAATACACACAGAAACAGTACATACGTGGTCGAGATTCTTGCCGTCTACATTGGAGGTCGGTAGAGCTCCTAAAACAAACAAACAGACAAACAACAAAACCCCAATAATATGGTTATAATTAATAATATGATAATATGAGATCTGACATCACAAACACAAACCTAAATGACTTTAAATATTATCAGTTGCTTTAGCGGTAGCTATCTTTATTAAATATCTGTACTGTGCTTATTACAGAGAAAACATTTACATAAGAGAACTTCTCACTTATTGCAAATACTCACTCTAGAAAGGATAAAATGTTTAAACACCAAATCTAAAGACACTAAATACACAAAAAATATTAGAATATTAGGACACTGGTTTTATGGATGTGTGCATGTACTAACCAGTCAGAGTGGTATCTGCTGACACGCTGGGCTGTGTGGCGGAGCCGTTGGCCAATGAAACGACGTCAGCTATGACTGGATTCATCTTTGAGGAGTGGTGGGGTTGGGTTGGAGCTGGAGCTGGAAGTAGAGAGTGAATGCAATCCCTTCACCCAGATGCTTCAGTGTTTACCACGCAGCCCTTACTTGGTTTGTTTTGATTTAAACACCATTTGAGAAGTAGCTCTGTAGCTTTCTAAATTTTTGCAGATTTGAAATAATTTCATGTGCAGCTTTACAGTTTTGAACATTGTTTACCATATGGTGTCTGTGGCGCCGTCCCGTTACTGCTGCTGTGTTGGCTCGTCTCAAAGTGAAGGTGGCAGTACTGCTGTAGGCAGGGCAGGTTGCAGAAGTTACGCACCGAACCCAAACACTGCAGCTTCTCCGTCATGTAGCCCTGCTTCCTGCAACTGTCACACCGACCCATCTGCACCAAGACATAGGAAGACACGACCACATTCAACACGCTGCAAGAGGCATCGTGTGGTTCGGTGTATAGTGCAGTGGGGCAGCCGTATTCTCACCCCGTAGTAGAGTACAGTGTACTGGGACATGCAGTGGGGTCTGCAGAACTCCTCCAGCTTGCCTCCGTAGTGACTGTGCAGCATCTTCTGTGCAATGCCAGAGCAGTAGGTGCAGGGACGCCAGACATGCTCCTTGCTACGAGAAGTCAGGTCATGCTTGAAGAGCAGCTTACAGTCTGGGAAACACAGCAGGAGGGGTATTACCTCAGCACTACTGCAAACACAATTAAGCAATCAAATCTGGAAATTAAAACAGAGAGAAAAGCTAGAGAGAAAATTCAGATAGTTCCTAAGAGATAAGAATTATCTTGTACTTTCAAAATTACAAAAAAAATCCAAGTAGATTGTGAGTTAAGAGTTTGAGGGTCAAAAATAATAACCGAGATGACCTCTGATGAGAAGGATTTGCAAAGGATCACAGCAATAGAGCGGCACATGGCTGAATTATGTTTAGTAACCAACATGACGAAACTTGACTAGCATCAACAGTGTAGAACAGGATGAAGGCCATCTTTGAGCATTACTCACTGTCACTGCAGAAGACCAGGTCCTGCTGGTTGTAGACGATGGTGTCAAAGATCACCTTATCCTGCTTACACCACTCGCACACAGCAAGGATATTTTTCTGGGTTTTATACTGCTCACAGCACATCTTACTGCAGAACACAGAAATTCGACCCTGCAGGCAAAAACAACAACTAGTATATTCCTTTTTTATGGTGCAGCACTGGTCATGCAGAAGGATATGAGTGAGTTTACTTACCTGGTGGCTGAATAATAGCGGCTTGGTGTTGAACTGTTTGCTGCACTGGTGACAGGTCAGTTTGGAGGTGTCACCTAGCCGGCCCTCTGCCAGTTTCATTGGCTGACCGGCCTGCGTTTGTCCTGGCACAGAAGGGGAGGAGGAGATGGCCGGATGGGGAGGCACTAGTGGGGGCACTGAGGTATGACTGGGATGATTGCCTGGATAGGGAACTGAGGATGGGTAATCCTGAGGGACGGGAGGGACTGAGCTGGCTCCGGCAGAAGGCCCCGGTTTGGGGGCATCTCTGACAGAGGGGTCCCTGAGAGAAGAGGCTCCATTGGTCAGGTCTGGCTGGGATATGTGGCCAGATTTCTATGAGACATTAAGGGAAAAGAAAAAAAAATTACAAGACGGCTTAGACCATCAATGTGTGCCATCTTTAAATTTATTAATGCCACTGTTGCTTTACCCTAAAGATAGTCACACAGGTGTAGGAGCAGAAGTTACGTATAGTGCCATCCACCATGGCAAGGTGATACTGAGGAACGGCGGTCACTTTACACAGGGAACATGGGAATGGAGTACCTGCAAAAAAATAAAACAGTCATTAAAAACAAAAACTTGAGATTTTTCCTCCAATGGAGCCAGGAGGCTAACTAATTATTTTCTATTCTGCATGGTATCTTAATTTGTAATAAATATACTGCTGTAAACCCTGTGCTTGTGACATGACCCTGACACACGTGGACGCGTGTGTGTCATACCAGTGAGATTATGCTGAGGTGGTCGACTCTGTTCCACGCAGACCACAGAACAGTAAAGCTGAACTTTTCCCTTCTGGTCTCGTTCCATGATGGTTGTGGACACGACCACTGTCTTGTGACAGTACGCGCACTCTGTTGTCTTTCTACAGGTCTGTGGAGGAAACGATACGAGGGTGCCGAGCATGATTTTTCTGACATAATGAATAATGAGAACAGATGCATGCGTATATGCACACAGAAGCAGCAGCTGTGCTTGCGAGGAGAGTCTGTGCTGCTCCCATTTTGCTCAAAGAGACTGACTATAAAACATTTTGTTATGAAAAACACTTTTTTAAAACTAAGAAGTTGGATCGATTATTGTAACTCCTGTAGAAAAAACTTCACACTGCCCAGGATAGATCCCCCTTTATATGATATGACAGGGCAAATCACTGAACCACCCAAGTACGCCAAAACATCAATTCAAGTCTAGCATTCGTAAAGCATATATCTTCAAAATTCAGCAGGTTCTGATAATTTGGACACATATGAGGGGGCACAGCTGCCCCTGAGCAATAAGGTGGCAAAAAAACAAAAACAGGTTTTGTTATAAATAAACATGTTTCTAAAAAGTAAAATGTATAGAACTGTATCTTATTCTTATCTTATTCCAGTGTTTTTTTCTAATTTTTCTATTTGACATTGCACTGTCCACTTTCTGCTGTAACAAAAACAAATTTCCCACGTGTGGGACTAATAAAGGTTATCTTATTTTATCTCATCTTAACTGATACAAGGATATTTATACCTGTTTGTAGGTGCTAATGCAGGTGGGACCACAGAAGTTGAGCTGAGACTTCTCGATCGTGAGCGTCTGACAGGAACCTGATTTGGTGTTACAGTAAAGACCGCAGCCTTCGCAGCAGTTCATAGCTAACTGACGTATCTTGCGCCAGGTTACAAAGCAAGCGTCGCTGCACAGTCTGTGTAGGCGGCCTTGATGGGTGACCTCGTGCTCAATTGGCTGTAGAGATGATCACAATCAAAACGTGGAGAAGCAATAAATACAACCAAAATGAAGAGACGCTGACCTAAAATTGGATCTTTATGTTACACACGTGAAGTCTTTTACCTTGTTGGAGACTTTACAGACACTACAGAAGGGTCTGTCAGTCTGGAGCTCTGCCGGTTTCTCTGGCGGCTTCTCTGGCTTTCTCTCCACTTGTTTATCAGGCCATTTGTCAGGAACCTTGTCAGTCTGTTTCTTCTTGTGTCTAAAGACGGACAAACAGAACTGGCCGCAAAAGTGCATGAAGGTGCGGTCGTCTGCTGGGATTGTGATCATGTCCCTGGGCTGAACAATCTCCCTGCAAAGAGCAAAACAAGAACTAAAAACAACACAGACTCAAAATATCACCCATGCGTGTACACTGTCATAGGGCCTGAGTAGTCCTGCCATTGTGGATTGCTAACAGAAAGTTTAAGCTGTTTTGAAGGTCAGTGCATGAGCTGGACAAAGCATACAAAATATACAAACAAATTGCATAAAATATAACAGCATTCATATGTAACCCTCAAAAACTACTGCTTATAACGCTGCAGAAAAATGAGGATTCAAAATTCTGACATGTGGATCCCTGTGCTGGTTTAAATGGAATAAATCAAATCTTTTGATTCACAGGTAGCACGGGAAGCCCTTTTTTTGCCGGCTTGCTGTCCAAATCAGAACAAGGACTATCACTGCCACCTAAAATCATAGATTGAGTTTTAAGTTTGTCCGATAGCTGAATGACATCAAATGAAACTGGAGTAGCAGACCCACAATGACCAATGAGACTGGACGGAGCAACAACTGAAATTTTAAAATAAAAGTGAGGGGAAAACCAGCTGCTCCAAAGCAATGTGAAAATAGAGGCAAAGGGAGAAAGTTATGCTATGCACTAAAGGGTCTCACATTTCAGCGATATTTAAAAAATTTAAAAGTAGATCATGTAAAATAAAGTAGCATTTCGTTAAGACTCTCAAGTGACCATCCGTATACGGTTTTCATAGCACCACAAGGCAGCGAGTTCATATCGATGCCCAGTGGAAACAAGTGTGTACCTGTTGCACTGGAAACAGCATCGGTTTTTAGTGGGCAGAGGAAGATGGCCCGTCAGACATACAGTGGAGCAGAAGAGCTGCGTCGATCCTTTTCTCTGGAAAGCCGTTTGACCTTTCAGCAGAACCTGAAAATGTAAAGTCACATCATTGTACATATTCTCAGCAAATAACAGCATTAATAAGTTAAATACAGAGTTACGTGAAGCTTTTCAAATTGTAGTTTTCCTTTAACAATGTGCATTTTTGCATTAATACCTTAGAGCAACCGCTGCAGCGAACGCTACCAGGAACTGGGGGTTGTGGTGGGCGCGGCGGTATTGGTGTCAGAGCTGGTATTGAAGTTGGGACTGGAATTGGAGGTCTGACGGGGAGGGAAGCCATGGCTTGTATGACAGCTCCTCTACCAGGGATAAAAATGGCAGTCGGAGTCGGGGCTGGAACCGCTGCTGGCACTGAGGTGGACAAGAGGTTAACAAAGCTATCAGGCAGATTTATTAACCCTTAGATAATTCGCAGATTTTTCCTTTCTGCCACTAATCTGTGGTTTATCATTAGGTCCAATTTTCACACCAAGATCTTCTTTGGTTCACTGAAACTCTATGGTGCATTATTACCAGGACTAATAATAATAATAACACAATTTGAATTCTTGTTATTACAGTTAAAATCAAATAAACTACAACATAGTGTATAAGACATCACCACTAATGTTAAAACAAATGCACTCACTGGTAGGAGAGGTGAAGGTGTTGCCTCCACCTACGGAGAAGACGGAGCTGATCCTCAGCTCCTCCTGCAACAATAAAACAATAAGAAATCAGACTGCACATTTCTGTCTGTCTTTCACACTGCTTTAAATCACATCAAAAAGGTCAAAAGATCATTTATTTAAAAAGACCCTCAGAATCAGCCATTTTTAGTACAATAACTTCAGTATATTTAATGAAGGCAGGTAAAATTTGATCTTCATGCTGTGACTATATAAGAGGATGGCATATTGCTCGTATGCTCCAAAATGCTGAAAAACACGACTTAAATTTAAAAGCACACAAATTTTGAACCCACATCACTGCACTTCAAAGGCCTGCAACTGTGAAAATATTAACATGGTGTGAAAATAAAATTTGACATGTTATTATGCAAAAGCAATCGGCTGATTCTGAGGGGACTGGGTGGGATATCTTTAAACTTGACGACCGAAATAATGAGTCTAAATTGTTTCATAACAATGCATAGTCTGTTAGCAGCTTCAATCCAAATACAGTGAGGTAATCTTTAACTTCTCTCTATACCAACCTCCTGGTGTTCGAGCTCCTCTTTGATCTGTCTGATGGAGCTCTGAGGCAATAACGCAGCATCGTAGCCTTCATCAATAGGCTCCTCTTTTATATTCACACTCGGAGAAATCGGGGGATTGCTGTCCTCCACCGGAGCTGCCTCTGACGTCTGAAATAATAGAAAGCGTCCATAACTACCCAAGCTGAAAAGGCAGTTAACTGACAGTGTTTTCCAACCCTCACCTCTCCCTGCTGACTGTCTTCTGTCTCCTCTGTTTGGTTCAGGACGCCTGCATCTAAACATGGATAGGGGAAAAACAGCAAAACCAAAAACGACATGTATTATTGTTTTCGTTATTTTTTTTAGTAAACACTTTAAATAAGTTGGAACAAATATGATCTGCAGAGGAAATAGATGACAATCAAGATCCTTTCCAGATGGTATTACATCCCTTTCTGCTTTTGTAATGAGTCCCAACACCACTGTCTGACAAGCAGCCTGACGGAGCCTCCACTGTGTTTCACAGATGGCTGTAGACACTCTGCTGTACCTGTCTGATGATTTGAGCTAAAAAACTTCAAATCTGGATTCATGACAGGTTCTTGTTTAACTTGTCTTCTTTCAGAATGGCTTGTTGACCGGCAGTACTTCCACTGAGAGCTTCTGTCAGTGCATTACCCGATACCAACAGATGCTAAATTCTAAGATTTTCTGAGGAAAAAAAAAAAACAAAAAGGGAAAAAACAAAAACAAATTGAACAATAAAATGCATGCTAAGATTTTCATTAAACCCCTGGAATTTCACAAAAATAACAAATTCTGATTCATGTGGTATTAATATTGATATTACATTAAATCGATATGTTGTTGGTCACACACAGGAACTGACTGCCACTTATTCTAATTGTAGCATAGACGTGCACTTATTAAATTAATGTTTTAGCACTTTTTTACTCTCTATAAGGTTACATTTAATTCAACTGAATTATGGCACCAAATCACAACGAGTCAGCTCCCCCGGGCGCTTTATATTGTAAGGTAAAGACACAATAACACAAAGAAACAAACTCTTTTTAACAGGAAGAAAAGTCTGGCAGAACCAGGCTCAGGGAGGGGCAGCCATCTGTTGCAACGGAGTGGGTTTGATTGGAAGGAGGAATTCAGTATTCATATTTTTCATATGTACGTATTTGCACTGTGTGTACTTCACAGGGTTTTTGTTTTTAAATCTGTGACACCTTTTGAAACCATTTTCACTTTTCTTTCAGGACATGTGCAGGTTACAACTTCTAATGGCTCAGTGGATCTTAAATGATGATCCAAGCAGATGGTAAACATATTTATTTTAGTCCTTTACCTCACTGCACAGATATTTCCCAAATTCTAAATCATTTAGTAGAATTAGAAAATAAAGTGAGTCTGAGCTAACCTCATTCCTGTCTTCACATTTCTGAGGTACATCTGCAGAGCAGCTCGCTGGGATTCAAATCATTTGTCTCTTGGACTAAAAGAAGTAGGCTTCAAGGAGAACATCCTGCACTTATAAGGCTTCTCTTCATTCTGTCCTCTTTAAAGAAATAGCTGGTGTTTCACTCCTGTTAGCTGCAGACCTGCAGGCTTAACAGACTTTTCTGTGCTGGTAACAGGTAACCTCTGTTGCTTTCACCACTTTTCGGCCTCAAAAGTCCCCAAATCACTCGAAGTTAGTGAAGGTTATGAAAGTTGGCTGCTTCTACACTTGAGAAGCCCCATCCATGTGCTGTTAAAACAGTCAGTCTGCAAGTAAAATGTTTTGATTTCAAATAGTCAATCTATTAAATTTCAAATGCTGCCATTCATTCTTGTTTAATTGTCAAGTTTTGTGACGTAATCAGACAGTGCTGCCAGATTGTGAGCTTTTCCCTCCCCTTATTAGAAATGTGTGTGACATGACATGAGCCTACACATCACTGTATTTTTATTTATGTCCTTTGCTTCGACTAATATTTATATTCTTCTAAAAAGTATTTATTTAGGACTGCCTTTTTAAATTTGTAATGCAAATACTACAGCCTCACTTTAATGTTACTATTTTGCTTGGTTTTTTTTTTTTAGGATTCTTGTTTTCACTAAGCATACTATTTATATGGTATTTTAAATTACTGAATATTTGTTTGCTTTTCTTACTTTTTCTTCTAATCATCTGCTTATAATTGCTTCACAGATGTAAAGTGTAAAAGTAAAGTGCAAAAGTGTAAAGTGTGCGTGTTAGTCTCCATAGGGAAATAGTTCCTCTGCATTTAACCCATTCACTCAGTGAAGCAGTGGGCAGCCACCAGTGCAGCGCCCGGGGAGCGGTGTGTAGGGACGGTACTTTGCTCAGGGGTACCTCAGGGTAGCCGTTCAGTGGAGTCGAACCCCCGACCTTCCGATCATGGGGCCACCACTCTACCTACTGAGCTATCCCTGCTCAAAAAGACATTTAAACTGACCTACATATGCAGTAATAACATATTGTTATTGTACCTTACACTATAAAGTGCCTTGAGGTGACGATTGTTGTTATCTGGCGTTCCACAGATAAAGCGGAATTAAATTGACACCATTGTGACTTCATGAGGGTTTTTACTTTTATTAAGCTCCACCCTCGACTCAAAGACTGTTTTATGAGCTGAATGGTACGCTCTGTGACTAACTGTATAAAAACAGTGGAGTAGAAATTTAAAAAAAAAAAAAAAGAAAACAGATGAGTCACTAACTATCGTGTCCTTCAAAAATAAGCAGCGTTACCTCTGCTGTTGTCTTGTGACGAGTGGAAGGTGTTGGCGGAACCGGTGCTCGCTGCCCTCTCTTCTTGCTCCTCCTCCTCTTCCTCCTCCTCAGCCTCCCCTACTTTTGGCTCAGAACCAAAGGTATTGCTCGGAGCTTCGCTGTTCTCCTGCTGCCTACCTTTCCTGCCGGCCTTATCCACGTCTACATCCTCCAGGGTGCCCATGGGCAGGGCAAAGTGCCAGTCTTCATCATCTTCCTCCTGCCCAAATGAAGGAAGGCCATCCAGCGCGTCATCAAAAGCCGCTGCCCCGCTTCCTCCTCGTCCACCTCCCCCTTCGCTGGTCCCCATTTTAAAAGAATCCTGTGGGTCAGAGGTGGGCGAGGCAATGCGAGGAGGTGATGACTCGCCCGCCCCTTTGTCTATCTTTTCTTCTTTCCTGCTGCTGTTACTATCCTCCTCCTCCTCTTCCTCCTCCTCCTCCTCCTCCTCCTCCATTGGTTGTTGTTCCTCTTGTCCTGAGGTTTGGTCCACTCCCTTCGTCTCATCCTGTCCACCACTCTTGGAAGATGCATTGGAGCCCCTGGAGGAGTCGGCGAAGTCTCCCAACCCCATCACCTCGTCAAACACCCTGGACATGTGCTCCTCATGCTGCAGAGGAGAGAGATCATTATTATTTCTCATTTCACATCCATATACAACACAACTTTTGACAGATAAGGGCCAAATATGTTCAGTGGAAACATAAAATACATCCTGGATACAACCCCAAATTGGATAATTAGTTAAAAAACTTGATACACCCAATCAAAGATATAATTAAGGCATCAAGTGCCATTTTAGTTTAACATACACCAGTTTTCTGACTAAAAACACATATTCTAGAGATAACCAAACACGTAGCATGACTGGCTGCTGGTGTCTTAGTCGAGTTAATGCATTTTTCTGTTATTTCTGCCAATCTTGAATAAAGCACAAAGATGTTTTTATAATTCATTAATCTAAAAACATCTAGCAGGGAGTCAGTCCCCAGAGACTCCCATGGTAAGAAAATAAACTCTTGATTATGACTTTAAAAAAGTATGAATTTCTGTACAATAGACAATAAAACATCCAAGAAAATAACAATCATTTTAAAGAAAAATACAAAAAAATCAACGAAAACCTGCCTAAGATGATAACACAGACACATAGGTCAAAATTAAGATGCAAAAAGCATATGGACACCCAGTGGGACCCTCAGAAAACCTGGCCATGAAATCAAAAGTTATCAGACCCGTGGAGCTGTAGCCCAAATCTGATAATTTTACCTTGTAACTGGGACGAAATGTAAAGCTTGATTTTCAGACTTCGCTGGTTTTGTTGGTAAAGACCATAAGACACTTTACAGCACCCACTGAGCCAGCAACTTCTTGACAGCAGTATCTTACATTCACCACAACCAGTGGCCTTTGTGCGCACACACAGGAGCTTCTGTTGTAGTTTGACTATGCCTCAAAGAGCTACCTATTGTATGGAAACACACATCGTCAAGGCAGCATGTCTCATTTTTAACCGAGTGTTATGGGTTTGTGAGGAAAAAAACAAAACCGCCTTCCCTGCAAGACGAACTTAAGGACACGTGCAGTTTTATTTCAATTACATATTATCAAAACTATTTTTCGTAAAAATTTATATTTCAACTTTTTAACTAGAATCAAGAGTAAATCATTATATTCTGGAATGAGGATTATGTTGAGCACACCCTCTGCTGGGCTCCAGGCTGAATTGTGGCACATTTCTGTAAATAAAATAACAGGAACTGAAATGGCTCCCCTACACTGGCAGAGACGTTTTATCTAATCACTCTTAAAAATGCAACCTTCTCATCACTCTCTCTGTGAGCGGAGATGTGACTCTCTGAGGGTTTTCTTGATGTTACTCACAGTTATGGACCTTGTCCTGGTCTTTCTGGGTCTGCCCGAGCGTCTTCTGCTCTCAATAATGAGGCCATCATTTTTTAACTTTCTGATAATATATTGAATTGTGGAGGACGGGACATTGTTCGTCAGATTAGCAATCAAATCAGAGTTTCCCAGTGTGTGCAAATAAACAATGCTTATTCGTTTCTCTGCGCACACCTCACTCATTTTTACCATAATTTTCTTTTTGTTAAATGGGAGTTGCTGACCAGTTTCATGGTAGTTTATAATGGATGAACAAGGCCAATTTGCACAGGGTATAAATACCTGGCTCTTGCAGAACAACCACGGGTGAAGATGATCACACTGATGATGGACCACACAAACAAAACTTATTCAAATACTTTTTCCAAACTGAAATCATGTTTCTTTTGTTCCTAAAAGAGGAGGAAATGTCTTAACCTTACTTTAAAGGTATTATTTAAAAGCAGTCTTAAATATTCTAAAAATAAGCCTTAACAGCAGCTTTTTGAAAAAGCATTTAACTACAGTAGGGGAGTTTACATCCACTCATCATGGGTGTGACTATCATGGTAATTTGGGGGATATTAATGATTTCTTATTTTTGACAGGGTTGAATAATTGTACAGCATACATCTTTAATGACTTGAATGAACAAGAACACAGAGTGCACAGTTTTGAATGAATTTTTGATTTTTTTCTTAGATACACATCCACTGGAATGTGTTTAAACGTCTCTTGGCAAGCTGCAGTTCTAGTAGATGCTTTAGGTAGTCATCCACAAGCTTTTTTAACTGACCTCTCTTCTTAGCAGAATTGGTAGAGTTAATTTAAATGTGCTGATTTGCTGGCACAAACTCTGCTTTTTAAGTGTAGTCCACAAATTTCCAATAGGATTGAGCTCAAGGCTTTGGGAAGGCCATTCCGAAGTTTAATATTAGCCAGTTTTATCAATTCTAAAACCAGTTTTGATATGTTTAGGATTGTTGTCCTGTTGGAGTTTGAGCTGTCTAGCTGTTGAGTTGAGGTGAAGTTGAAGACTTTGGAGATAGTTCTCCTCCTTCATCCACTGTTTATGTAATGTAGAAGTAACTATATAATTAATTGGGTTAAAGCACTTAATTAAAAGTAGTCTAACATAAATGTAATTGCTGTAATTTGATTATTTTAATAAACCATGTAACTTGGATGGATTAGATGCTGGCTTGACCACAGTGCACACGTCTACTGTTGCTCACAGTGGTCCAAGGGACCGCTCAGGGAGTTTGTGTGTTCGCTCAGACATGTGAAAATTAGAGGGAACATCGCACCGGAGTATATTCTCGAGCATCTCACACTTCTGATAATCAGTTGTCTGCTTAATGTTTATTCAGCTGTGTAAAAACTATAACTTTAATCTCAGCCAAACCGATTTACTCAGGAGCAAATAAAATACTGAAAAAAGCCAAACAATAACATTTTTAAGTTATCTAAGTGACATATATGTTTCACCTGAGTAGCGAAAGACAGCGGTTGGTTTGAAAATGATTTGCGGGGAGTCCGGTGTTCTCACCGGCTCTAGTGAGCCTTAAACCCCGGCTAGCTATCGAGCTGGTGGGTAACAGACGTCTCCGAAAATGTCGGGGGGCTTTTGAAAATATGTGGTGTCTTGATAAACTGAGCAGATATTTCAGATTTACACAGCTACATTCTCGCCTGAAAATATGTTAAACGTTTATTTTGTGACCCAGAAAGTATAATAAGAGTAATATTAAAACTAACTGGCTTCCACCATTGTTGGAAACTGAGCAGGGCTGCGCTATGAATTCTGGGACACAGCTTCTTCTTCTTCTTCGGGGTTTAACGGCAGCTGGCATCCTTGTACTTGCAGTGCTGCCATCTTCTGTTTTAGTCCGTTATTACACTCTTAAATCCTACTACTTATTCAAGCGTCTTTTTGGATTTTACCAAGCTTCAAACTACGCATCGACTATTAAATTAGTCGTCGACGATTTTGGTAGTCGATGTAATCGTGACTAGTCGGCTAATCGTGGCAGCCCTAGCTGCCACACAGTTGTAGTCAATCATGTATACTAATGAGAAGTTAACAAACATTGGCCATGTCAAGATAAGAGCCTTCATTTATAGAACCTTCAGCACCACTCACTTAAAAGATGGAAGTGAGTATATGTATAAATTTGATCCTGAATGGATTAGAAAAAAATCCAAAACACATTAAGCTTGTGCACCCAATTCTTGGTTTTTAAAGTCATCAAAGATGTGTGCTGTACAGTCATTACATGCTGGAAAAAGAACAGTTCAACGAAATACTTAAAAATCCCCAAAATATCATGAAATTTATGCCCATGATGAGTCTATGAAAACTTGTGACCACAATTGTATATGTGGAGTTTACAGGTTGTAGGGCTAACTTAAGTCAGCTAACTTGGGCTACATCCACGTTGGAAGCCATTTGCTCTGTGTTTGTAGTTTTGAAGCCTACGCCTGGTTGCTTGTGGACCTCCCCCTAGATTTCGATTGATTAGGCATCCATCAAATGTAACAACCAGGTCACTCTTCAAACAGGAGTATCCTGCACTCACTGGTTGTCACTTCAATCGCTCGCCGGGAAGTTGATTTAGGTCAGTTTTGGATTGTGCCTACAACGTATAGTCAGTGGTTATTTCTCCTGCAGTCATGAATGTCATTCAAATTCCTGCTGCAAACTTCTTCCAGTTTAGACATAGCTTTAGTTAACAAGCTGCATTTATATCACATAACTGCTAATGACTAGTTCAATAACTCTGGTTAGCTAAACCTGTTGGGTGGCTATACCCTGAACTCCAGTAACCAGGTGGAAAAATACTCTCTGTTGCACTTTCTTTATTGAGGGGCAAACTATGTACAGATGCAAAAAAACATGGAGTTCATGGCTCTTTCGAAGGCGGCCTCAAGTGGCCATTAGAGGAACTACAATTTTTGTCATGTGGCAATCAAAAAAAATGTACCAGAAAATCCCCGAAGAGTACCAATGCTATAACTCTGGTACCTGTATATAAATGTAATAATATTTTCCTGCTTCTAATCTTTTAATTATAAAAATATTATTAAGACCAATGTGAGTTAAACGTTAGCTTTCACGTTTTAGTGCCTTTTTAAAGGCTCCAGGCCTCATGTCTAATTATTAGTTGTATGAAAGAAAGGGGGGGGGGTCCCCACCAAACTCCATTTAAAATTCAGCCATATTCTGAACTCACTCATACTTTTGAGTTCAGACACACCCCAAAAAAATAATGTTGGTGATGGCTACACTCCTCACGCAAAAAACGGCTTTAATGTAGCCACAGATAATTTCAATACACCCCCCATTTCTCATTATTCTCAGCAGTCCTGGCCGATGCTACGTGGACACTGCTGCAACCCAAAAGTTGGTCTGCGGCTGGCTTAATAACAAGCTCCCGAGGTGCACATCAAAGGCTCGTGGACACAATGTTCTCAACATGTTCGTTTGCTGCTCTGCAAATTCTCGGCATGCATCAGCACTGAATAGCAAAGCAGCAAGCTAGCCGCTAACACTAGCCTGAATGTGCGAATCTCGACCGGCCCACAACAACTAAACAACACAGTGTGTAGCTGGATCAGCTAATCCGTTTAGCGTCTAGTTGAGTGGCGCTATAACTACAGCCTGGTTGTGAATGCCTTACCTTTAATCGTTTAAGTCTATATTCCTCCGAGTCCGCCATGTTTTAATTATGCTGCAGACGCCGCGCTTCGCACCCAGCCGCCTACCTCCTCTCGGGGTTATGGGTCATGTATGTATGCAGAGGATGCTGCAGTTCACCGAGGAAACGAGCGGACCGACAACAGACGCAGAGGAGTTCACTTCGTAGGGAAAAAACTTGTATATTAGGCTACTTTTAAGGTGAATCCAAAGACTACTACAGAAGAAACAAAAGTACTTTCATAGAAGAGATGTGGGTTAAGATTACCTTAATGACTAGATAAGCGTTCCCTTCTTTTTACTCCTGAAACTGTAAGCATCATAAATGTCAAGTAGCGCTGCGCAGTTTTTTCTTATAAGCACGTCTTGAACTTTAGTTTTTAATACTCAAACTCACACATCAAACACTTGCTTTTTAAAAAAGCAGTCTCCATGGCTATTTTTTTATTGCTGCTATTTTGTGGTGATTACGGTAAACCCTGTTTGTAAGTGACTATGAAATGCTGCAATTCTTACTGAAGATAAATGACAAGCGTTTGTTTCATCATTCCTACGCATCCTCCATATTCCTTTCCCCCAGTTTGGTAACACAGTGGATATTTATGTGCATGTGTCAGTATACTGTCAGGTGGGTGACAAATTAAAGAACCTGATCCTTACAGTGCAAATCAGCGCAGAGCCGTTTTGATTGATCACCTATTATTAATGGAGAATCACTCCCAGGATTACATAAACATGATGTGAATGATGTGCCACGGCCTTCAGTCTCCAGCTGTCAACCCAGTTTTACATTAATAAGAGATTTTGTTAGAAAGCCCTTTCGACCACCATCATCAAAACACCAAAATAAGGAGATATCTGTGGAGGAATGGCGTGAAATCAGTCAGATAATTCTCCACAAACTTGGACAGTCAGTCCCCAAAGGAGCACCGAGGCTTATCTGGAGGTGCACACCTTACTATAACAGTTCTCTCCTTAAAGTTGCCCACTGCAGTTCATCCTTTCAGAGGTTGCATCTCCTGTCCGACAGGGGCGAGCTATTTAAATGTACGACCCTACCGTAAGTATTAGTGTGTTTGCTCGCTCTATCTATCTATCTATCTATCTATCTATCTATCTATCTATCTATCTACATACATACACACACACACACACCCTGTAAACTTTCAATGCATTTTAATAATTAGATCTAGCTTTTATGTCCTGGTGAGCCCCAATAAGTATCTAGAAGTTTTATTTAGAATTTTGATTTGATTATGATTTTCACTGTTGTTAATTTCTGTATTTTTAAAAGGCCAGTTCTACCATTGTTAATGTCTCGCTCATGTGGCTGTTGTCGGTAGTGTCAGGTGTCTCTTCTGTGAAGTAAATTGCGAGCAAAAAGACACGGACCAATTCTTTGTGAACACATGCTTGGTCAATAAACCTGATGCCGATTAAGAAAAATACTGTATAAAGTTCATGCACATTTATTATAGCAGTTTCGGTATACATTGCATAGAAATATGTGAACTAGATCAGACTCAATGCTGTCGTCTAATGGAGGTCTTCTCTGCTTGGCTGCACTTCTATGTGCGAACTTTCACCGGGGGTCAAACGGTGATCTGAACGTTTTCCGGAAGCCGTGCAGAGAGAGCTTCAGGTCGACGTTTGTTGTTGTTGTGGATTGCTTTGGATCCGCTCGCCAGCTGTCTGGGAGTAGGGTCAGCGGAGAAACGAGCAGGCGGAAGTCATTTTCCCCGTCGGATGAATGGCAGTCACGGCGGTGAGAGCGGCGGCAGCCGCGGGAGGTCCGGCGTCTTTGTCCCGCTTCAGGGGAGCGCTGGTCGCAGGTGTGCTAGGAGACTGTATCGGAGGAGAGTTTGAAGGGGCGGAGGAGGTTCCCATGGAGAGTGTGCTGCAGCACCTCAGCAGCCTGGACGACGAAACTAAAGGAACAAGTCAGTGAGAGGAGGAGGTGGTTTCATAACAAGCCCACTGCACCGTGAAGCAAAGCTGACATGCAGAGTAGCTTAAAGGGATCAAAATGGTTTGAAATTACTAAAGAAAGAAAGGGAAAAAAAGATCACGTCTCAAACCGGCAGGGGTCTCTCCAAGGGGGGGGATGGGGAGGCACTAGCCCCCTGAAATGAAAGTTGCTCTATAAGATACATTTGCTCTTACATTGTTTTACCATGTTTCGTGTATGATTATGGTTCATAAAATAAATCCAACCTATTCTGGCTAACTTGTCAACCAATCAGCATTCAACTGATAAATAGGTCATCTGTGTTTACCAATGTGCAGTTGGAATTTTGGAGGACTGCATGAGGGCATGTTTGGGGAAGCTGTCCATGTAGAAATCTGTATGGAAACTCGCATACCCAATACTGTAAAATATGCATAAGGTACCACCAGAAGCAAGAGCATTTTCCCGCAACCTTCTATAGAATAAGAAGTCTTTTGGAAACTCCAGGTATTGCCCCTGGTGGCTGTTAACTAGAGTGCAGGGTTAAGGCTGGGTTAAGGTGTCTCTTTTTAGACATGGAACCTAATCTTTGTGCAGACAGATGGGTGGTTAACTGTCAATTGAATTAGCTTGCTATCCTATCTGCTGCTTTACCATTTCATCTGTCATTACTGTGAAGAATGAGACTTTGAGATATTCCTCAAGCTTCTGAAACCAATAATGCATAACTTAATTATAACAATTTTCACAAAAATCAGATCTGGACTGACTGGCTGGGATGAGCTGGGAACAAACAAAGTACAAAAATAATAATAAAAAAAAATTACAGGGTGTAAATTGTGCCGGCTAAATCTTCTTGTCCTTAGCGGACGACCAGCGGCGGTGGTCTGCCGCGCAACCAGTACGCTGCTGTAGGTGCCGCAGGTTCTCTTGCTTGACCAACGATTATCTTCCACGCTTTTCGATCTAAGGCGATGGTTCTTGCCTGCTCGAGGTCAAGTCGAAGGGCCTTCAAATCATCCTGGATTTGTTTCATCCATGTCTTCTTTGGTGCATTTCGATGGGGCGGGTCAACCAGAGTAGGCCATGGGGGTAGCGGCTCGGCGGCTAAATAGTTACTTAAAAAAAACCTTCAATGTTATACCGTGTAACATTCAGATGAATATGCTGCGGTTAGATTGGAAAAAGAACACTTTAAATACCCCAGCTCCCTTCAGAAAAAGGCCTAAATGTTGGCAGACATGACTTTAAGTAATTAAATAATCTATATTTCCAGCAACAAGTGATATACACAATGAATCTATAATTATGATCCAGTAATATTAGATAATTAGGATCATGATGTCCACTAGATTATTTATCCTGCAGAAACTGGGGCTATTACTTTTTCTCATCGACTGTTTACAGGCACAAAAATCTTTACTACTTGATTAACGGGCTCAGCGAAGAGTGCTGAGTCCATCGACGTCTCTGCTCATCTCATCAGATCTCAGAACAAATGCTGTGTAAAGCCCCACTGATTGGGCCTTGTGATTCCTGTTTAGGCTGCTGATTGTCTCTTTAGGGAAGGAAGTGAGATGAGACCATGTTTTGCATTAAGGTATTCTCCTCAGTTTCTTTTTGTTGTAGCCAGGATTCTTTGAGAAAGTAGCAAAAATACATCCACACTGCATTTCTATAAATATGCTTGGTTATAGTTCATTTAAATCTTATATGAGTAACAGGGTAAATGAGTAAATTAAACTATTAATTTTTCCTGTGTAAACAATCACCATCTGTAGATATGTTCATTTTATTATCCGCAAATTATATTGGTATCTTTGTTGGCTAAGGATTCCAGCCAGTCCACTAGATTAGGCGATAAAGTGATTACAATTTCAGGATGATTAAATTGGTGTTAGCTGTTTATTTCCAGTGCGGAATTACTGTTATTATTTGTTAAAATGTGTGTATTTATGTTTTTGTGTTTTAGGTATCCTTGAATACAGTGATGACACAGCCATGGCACGCTGTGTGGCTCAGTCTCTACTCACCAGGACTGGCTTTGATGAGCACGACATGGCTCGCAGGTAGAAGAATCATCATCATCTTTATCTAAAATAAGCCTAAAATCACTTCACCATCATCTTCTTCCTTCCTTCTCCTGCATTAAGCCAACTTTCCTCCGATTGGTTGTTCCTTGTAAACCAGGGGTAGGCAACGCCAGGCCTCGACCCCCGGTATCCTGAAGGTTTTAGATCTCACCCTGGGTCAACACACCTGAATCCAATGATTAGTTGATTACCAGGCCTCTGGAGAACTTTGAGAAATGTTGAGGAGGTAATTTAGCTATTTAAATCAGCTGTGTTGGATCAAGGACACATCTGAAACCTGTAGGACACCGGCTCTCGAGGCCTGGAGTTCCCTACCCCTGTTGTAAACAAAAGGTTTAAACAGCAGAAGGGTGAGTCTTCTGTATACACAGCCAAGAGTAGAAAAATTGTCTCACAGGTGTTATTTGTATTGCAACAAATAAATTTTTGGAAACTTTGCACACGTTTAATGTGAGGCTCCACATTTGGAGCAGTGTGTATATATAATAGAAAATAAGGAAAAATTGATTTAAGGAGTTAAATATGGATCCAAAGGCTCTTCGGGTAAGCTGATGATGGTTCCTACCTCGGTGACTCACCATTTTTAGGTTTGCAAAGGAGTACAGTGCATCCCCACATCGTGGTTATGGTGCTGGAGTGATCCAGGTGTTGAAGAAGCTCTCATCCCCCCAGTTAAATGACGTGTATCAGCCAGCGAGGGACCAGTTTAACGGTCGGGGCTCCTTTGGAAATGGAGGGGCCATGAGAGCAGCTCCCTTTGCCCTGGCCTTTCCGGACTTGTCTGATGTTAAAAGGGTGAGTAGGGGTCTTTTGAATGTTGAGTTTTCTCTCTCCAATGGATCGGATAGAAACAACATCTTTAAATTTGCTCTTTTTCTCTGCAGTTTGCCCATCTGGGCGCCATGCTGACGCACTCCTGCTCTCTGGGTTATAATGGGGCGGTGCTGCAAGCGTTAGCTGTGCACCTGTCTCTGCAGGGGGCACTGGACTTGCCTCACCAGTTCATCAGCAGGCTAATTAAAGAGATGGAGGAAGTGGAAGGTGATGAGACTGCACGCAATGATGCAAGAATGTGAGTAGACTGGTTAGAGGCAGCGAACGCGAACAGGGTTTTTCCTCCAAAGGAAAACATTGTAGTTTTTCTGTAATTTATGTTTTTTATTTGAGGTTTTATTCCCTGAAGCATAATAGACATTTATCTTACAAGTCTTTGTCATACAAGGTAACTCAGACTCAATTACTTTTTAAATTAAACTTTCACATCAAAAGGCTAATTCTGAGTCAGAAAAAACAACCTTAGGAGGGATTTATGTCTTTCAAAATGTGTTTTTAAAAGTTGAAACATCCCTTTTCATGCTGTGTGAGATGTATATATTTTTAATGTATGCTTTTGCAGTTTAAAAGAAGCAGAGAAGCCATTCTGTGATCGTCTCCACCGAATCAGAGACCTGATGGACAGGAGCAAAGTTAGCATAGAGGAAGTCATCTCTGAACTGGGTCAGTATGATTATTTATCGCTGATGAGGAGGGGTTTGTGATTGGTTTTGTTTGTTTTCAGGATTACGGAAATGTTTATTTAAAGAATTCCATAAGAAAGGTTTATTGACAGATTTTGGGTTTGATCTAAAATTAGAGGTGACTTTAAGAGTTAATCTGAATCTGGATCTGGGTTTTTTTAGGAAGTGTACATGCAAAATTACATTTAGATTCATGAAGCCTGCCCAGTTTTGTTCATACCACCGTGCCCCTGTTACAGAATCAGTCATTCAAAACCACCACTCTGACTATTACTGCCATCTGCCACGCCCACAGTGAGACACTGCTGTTGGGAGCTGAATATCAGAGGGGCAGCAAAATTTAATACAGAGGGGTTATTACCAACTTGGTTGAATAAGCCATCATCAAATAAACACTATAAAGACAAAGAACATGATAAAAAAAACCCACCATTACTATATTTTTTTAAAATTTTAGATATATTTCTCCTGATTTATTCTAAGTAAATTTCCCCATCTTATTTATCTTTTAGTATATGAGGAAGTATTAATGGAGGTTAGGGAGCAAGCCACATGTGCAATAAGGCCCCGATCCACTTCCCTTTTTACATGACATTTCCTGTTTCTCTTGACTGCCACCACAAAAACACGCCCCTCTCTTTGTGACTTTTACCAGGTAATGGCATTGCAGCTCTTCACTCCGTCCCCACTGCAATTTTCTGTGTGCTCCACTGCCTGCAACCCCGGGAATGCCTCCCAGAGAGCTACGGCGGCGTGGAGAGGACGATAGCGTACAGCCTGGCGCTGGGAGGGGACACTGATACCATAGCCTGCATGGCTGGGGCCATCGCGGGGGCCCACTATGGCATCGAGACCATCCCTCAGTCCTGGATAAGATGCTGTGAGGGGGTGGAGGATGCAGACCAGTATGCAGAGAGGCTTTACAAGCTGTACCACCAGTCACCACTGGGGGGCAAAGGCGAGCAGAGTGGCGAAAACAGGTCAACTGCTGCTAATGGCACAGAGAAGAAAACTGGAGTAGAGTGATGGATCAGTCAGATTGTCATTAAAAGACTTTCACACACATAAAGAACACGTAAAAAAAAAATGACTTTAAATTTTGTTTTGTTTGGAAAAGCTTTTTTTTTTTTTGGGATCTTAATGGTATTAAATAATTTAAGCTTTGAGGAAGAAAGTGATTTTTCCAAACTGTCAACATGAAATTTATTAGGTATCTGAAAATTAGAGCTGAAGAAAATTTCCAGTCTTAATTTTGAGAATGTGGCTTTTACACAAACTGCCAAACTTCTCTGAACGCCAATCCAAAAGTGGTCTAAATATGAATAAACAGCATATTCATACACGCTCTCTTTTCCTTGCTTTCCCCTGATTTATGTCCTGTCTCGTGAAAGTTGCACTATAAATTGACAATGTCTTGTTTTAGCAATTTGGTGAAAAATATTTAATAAACTTTTTATTTTCTTTTTAATTCACACATCTGTACGAGTGTTCTCAGACCCAAAAAGCACATCTACTTCATGAAGATCTGCTCCATTCAGATGCTTTTGTGATGCTTATTCACGTAAACTTGTAGCGAGTACAGACGAATACAAACAGAATCTGAATATTGCAAGAAATCAGGAAATGTCAGGAGCACTAAGTTCGCTGATATGTTTGAAATACTTTATTTTTTTGTTGATTATAAAGTGACAGCAAGGTATGACTGACATGCAGTAAATGGCAGAGCTGTAAGGTCCCCTGCAATGCTGAATTATAGCGTGTTTTAGTGTTTATTGTATTAAAAAAAGATAATCAATGTTTTTCAATGACAAATATGGATTTGTGTCCCCCTGTAAATCTTAATGAATTTTGAACTTAAACATCTTGCAAACGATCTTTTACAATGAGCTTAAATGAAAGTTGTGAATTTACAATAACATCAATTTAAAAATGCAAGTAAAACACTTTAAATGTACCTTTAAATAAAACAGCAACACTGCATTATCAGATGTAATTTAACATGTAAGGATAATTCATGGAAAAAGGCTTATGTTATTGGTAGCTTTCAGTTATCTGCATGTTATCAAAGATGCTATCCATGTGTGTTCAGTAGAAATTACAGGTTTTTGTCTGCAGGGGCGACCTCTAAGAAGAGCTGCAAGAACACTGTTAACTTGTCCAGCACTCTTGGGCAGAGCTTGTAATGGATGAAGGGTATGTAGACTACAATGCCACTTAAGATAAATAAAGCCACGTAGAGGTACTCAATCTGAGGATTGTCTATGATGGGTGCCAGCACGAGGAATATCGCTGCAATGAGGACCAGTATAGGAATTACAATGGGAACCTGTGGGGAGAGGAATAACCAGGCGTGAGGACAAGATGTTATTGTCATGTAATGTGAAAACAATGATGACACTAACCTTGTACGACCTTGGGAGGTCCTTCTTCTTGATTTTGAGATAGATGAGCCCAGACAGGACAATGGCATAGAAAAACCAGGCGCTAAAACTGAAAACGGCAGAGGAAGAGAAATTAAAGACAAACAAAAAAAGCAATGTGTGCTAAAAAAAAAAAAAAACCAAACAAAGTAGAAATGGAGCAGAAATAGAGTCAGCCTTCACCTGAAGTAGTTGACGATACTCTGAAAGTCTCCAGGAATCAGCACCACCAGAGAGATTATTGTGGTGAAGATCAGCGCCGGAGATGGAGTCAGTCTGTGGACGTGGGCCATGGACAGAATATCTGGCTGCAAAACCAGCACTGGTCTGTGTGAAAATCTGCACGTAGCTTTATTTTAAACAGGTGTGTGTGTTCTTATAAGACAGAGAGACTGTTACCATGTGTCCTTCCCGGGCAGCAACAAAGCACACACGGCCGCCGCTGAAGAACGTCCCGTTTAGAGAACCGAAAGCTGACAAGGCTGCGGCCACAGACATGACCCAGCCCCAGCTGCCCAGCACCTTATTCCTGCATGAAAACCGTTTGTATTATAAAAAAATCTTGTAGTGCATATCAATCAACCCTTTTCTATATACATTTCAGTAATTTAACAAATTAAATCAAAAACATCTTCTGTGGACATATTTAGGAATAAACCTTTTGGACAGGATGTGATGTCACCTCAATGTAATATTTGTCTTGAAAGGTGTTGAATGGGGCCTTTGCTGGTGTGACCAGGTTTAACACTACAAACATCTGTTCTGAGGCCCCTTCTGCCTATATAACAATAATAATAATAATGATGATGATAATACATTAGACGGTGGTTCGATCCCAGGCTGCCTCCTGGCTGCATGCCAAATATCCTTGGGCAAGATACTAACCCCGTGTTTGCCTACTGGTGGTGGTCAGAGGGCCCGGTGGCGCCAGTGTCTGGCAGCCTCACCTCTGTCAGTGCGCCCCAGGGCAGCTGTGGCTACAATGTAGCTTGCCATCGCCAGTGTGTGAATGTGTATGTGAATGGGTGAATGACTGAATGTAGTGTGAAGCGCTTTGGGGTCCTTAGGGACTAGAAAAGCGCTATACAAATGCAGGCCATTTACCATTTTACCATTTGTAAAGCGCCTTTCAAGAAACCCAAGGACGCTTTACAAAACAGAATAAATAAAAAAGGCTTAGAGATCGAAGGTTTTATTGAAGAGGTGAATTTTGAGAAGTTTCTTGAAGGACTCCAGTGACGGGTTGTTGAGAAGTTCATATGGGAGAGAGTTCCAAAATGACACCCAGATTGCAAACGTTGAAGGAAGGCCAGATGAGGAAACCATCTATATCAGGGGTAGGCAACTCCAGGCCTCGCGTGCCTGTGTCCTGCAGGTTTTAGATCTCACCCTGGGTCAGCACACCTGAATCAAATGATTAGTTGATTACCAGGCCTCTGGAGAACTTCAAGACATGTTTAGGAGGTAATGTAGCCATTTAAATCAGTTGTGCTGGGTCAAGGACAAATTTAAAACCTGCAGGAAACTGGCACGCGAGGCCTGCAGTTGCCTACCCCTGGTCTATATCAATAAGTAGATGGCCAGTCTTCTGGAGTAGGGCTTTAGGGGCCTCAACCAAGACCTCTGCGTTATTACTGTTGAGCTTGAGTAGGTTAATTGACATCCATATTTCTATTTCATGCAGACGGTTGAGAAGTGATCGTGGGGGAGCAGGGTAGAGGGTTTAGTACAGAGATAAAGTTGTGTATCATCAGCATAGGAATGGAAGCAGAGACCATGGCGGTGGATGATCTGACCAAGGAGGAACATAGAGACGGTGAAGAGAAGGGGTCCAATATCTCTTGGTATTTGTGTGACACCAGAAGTGAGCACCTAACTGTAGTGATGCTCTTTGCTGCCATTCCTTCTATGTTTGAAGTGTTTGGAGGCGACTCTTAAGTAATTTTCCTTATAGTGGATTGATGAGTCTTGCGAGAAATCGCATCAACTGTGTAAGATAAGTTTCATAATTACTTGCACAGTGGGCAGATTTAAATTGCCTATTAATCACCTATTAATCCCACTGGATGATTTAATCTCTGGTATCAACATGACAGGGAGCTAAAATGCTAATACAGAGGATTCAAAATGGAGACAGGATTGCAACATCCATCTTTAAATACAGTCTGTATTTTCAACTTACAAAAGCCCCATTTGTTTGACCATCAGTAATTTTAATGCACATATCAAATGATTGTACAGAGAAGAGGATTTCTTCAGGTTTGCTTCCTGTTCTAATAATAATAATAATAATAATAATAATAATAATAATGTACACTTTTATTGATCCCCGTGGGGAAATTCTTCTCTGCATTTAACCCATTCACTCAGTGAAGCAGTGGGCAGCCACCAGTGCAGCGCCCGGGGAGCAGCGTGTGGGGATGGTACCTTGCTCAAGGGTACCTCAGGGTAGCCATTCTATGGGAGAAGTAATAAAAAAAAAAGATCTTATCAGGTTGAGAACAGGTGTTGTCTTACCCCCAGGTAACTGCTACCGCGCTTGAGGACATGAGCTCTTTAGGCGTCATTACTGCCAGATAGCTCACATTCACCAGCAGGTACAAAGTAGTCACAAGAGAAATGGCTATCAGCACCGCCCGAGGAAGATTCACCTGTACAAAAAAAAGAAAAAAAGATATGACATGAAATAAAATGTCATGACATGACATGGTTGTAAAGTTTGGCTAAACCTTGATTTCTTTGCAAGCTCCTTTGACTTGATTACACATATTAACAAAGCAGTCTCTCATGACAAAACAAAGCCTCATTGAATATTTACTTTTTTAATACTTTGCCAAACCGTGGGGGGGAAAAAGCTCCCCAAGCAGCACCAAGTTTCATGCAGTCAGGACAAGCTGGAACTGCAATTACAACAATCCTAACAATGCCAACTCGTGTACCTCTTTAGTCACCTCAGACACTTTAAACACTGATTTAAGCATTGTAGGGGTATATGTTGGTACAAAGTTAATGAATTACCTGAAACACAAATTCAGAGTTTAGGGGGGAAAAAGGTAAGTGGTCATTTTTCTCAGGATAGCAGCAAGAAAACAATCATATTTCCCAGCAGAATCTTTATCAAAGATTATAAGCTGTATTTAAAAAAATTTAGAATTTAGTCTGCTTGTCCAGAGTTGGTTTTTTCTTAGGTTTCACATTAACAATGAGTTATTTTAGGTTCTGCTCTATAAAACACAGTTGGAGAAATGAAAAAAGAAAAATAGAGACTATTTTGAATATTTCCAGTCTCCTGGAAATGTCCCTGCAAGCCAAGTGGATTCTTCTGGTGTCCTCAATTCTTTCTCTGGTGTTTGTTCGTTTTATGTATACTTGTGTCTGGATCTACGTGAGCTACATGAAGATTAAAAAAAAACCCCTGTACTTTCAGTAAAAGATTAGACAGGGCCTCATCTGAGTGAAGAAAGTAACAGAGTATCTGCATAACAATGTTATCAGAGGAAAGACATGACTTGACCTGGTTCTCCCTTGTGCCAGTTTAAGCAGTCCAACAGAATAACATAAAACTAAGTTGGATATTTACTTTCTTTAATGCTTTGCTAAACCATTTAGTTCTCCAAAGTTGAACTCTACTTTTAATTAAATAGGACTCGAGTCTAAAATAACAGAAAAAAAAACACCAAGCACCAAGTTGCAAAATGCAGTCAGTGGAAATGGGTTAATTATTATGAACTGGCATGAACAATAAGGACAATCACACTGAAGTTTTAACCAT